CCAGGCAAGGTGGGAATGCCACAAGTACACAGGGAACTACAAAGAGTGAAAATGAGAGAAAGGACTGGGTATAAGGGGGGATTGAGGAAAGGATAAAAGATGAACAGGATTCAAAAAGATGGTAATTGGTGTTGTATTTAAATTTTTGAAGATTGTAGTTTTCAGGGAAGCAAGTAAATGGAAGGGAATTCCAAAGGTGGTAAGTGTGAGAAAAGAAACTGTTGGAGTAGAAATAGTGGTTACATTTAACTATTTCAACAGTAAAAGCATGGGACCTAGATGCCAATCTAGTAACATGCTTAAATTCATGTAGTCGGGGCACCAGGGAAAAAAAACTTGTCAGAGCAGCAACCATGAAAATATTTGTAGAAAAGTCAGGGAGGCCATATCATATCAGTGACAAGGTGATTGAAGTCGAGATGCCAAGTCAGGATTGATTATATTGCAGATCCTTCTTTGGATTTTGTCAAGAACCTTGAGATGAATAGCAGGAGCACCAAACCAGATATGGCAACAGTATTCAATGCATGGACAAATGGTAGATTTGTAAATGTGCAAGGTATACTCTGATTAAAAAAAAAACAAAACAAACAAACAAAAAAAACCTTCTGGCACAATGCAGTGACCCAACTTTTCTTGCAGTAGATGCAGTTATTGATTTGATGTAGTCATTCCACTTCAAGTCATTTGAAAAGGTGAGGCCAAGAAGGCACAGTATTTTGCTCTCCAGGGGTTTAGCATCAACTATTCTGAGAGCAGGCAGGAAAGTTTCTCTATGGTGGGTAAATAAGAGCAGTTTTGTTTTTGAGGCATTAAAATTTACAAGCCATTTCCTGCTCCAGTTAGCCATTGATTTGAGGACCTTTTCAAGAGCAGTGGCCAGGTTAATTTTGTCAGCTCTGATGGATTTGCTATTGAGACAGGAATAAATGGTAGTGTTATCTGCATGAATGCCTACTTGGGAACTGATGAAATCAAGATGATCATTAATGAAGATAAGAAACAGCATAGGACCCAGGACAGAGCCTTGGGGGACACCTGTGTTCATGTATAAGGATTTGGAAGAGAGCCTGTTCAGAATGACCATTTCACAATTTGATAGGATTAAATCAAACAATCGTCCTGTAATCCTGTAGCCCTGGAGCTTATGTAAAAGACCAGTGTACCAAACCCTGTCAAATGCTTTAGAGATATCTAGAGCCACAGCTTGAGCTTTGCTGTTATTATCAAGAGTTTGATATACATATTCAGTGATGGCCGTTAACATATCAGCAGTAGACCCAGAAGCCATATTGTTTGTTGGAGAGTAGGTTGTGAGAGGTAAGATGCTTAATCATTTCAGAATTGATTAAAGCCTTGAATACTTTGTTGAAAAGCAGTAAGAAACTAATAGGGTGATAGAGAGATCAGAAGGTTCTCTAGAGTTCTTAAAAATAGGAACTATGAAGAATTCTTGGAAAACGGGAAGTAGCAAGGCATTAGTTGTAGAGTTTGGAGAGAACTGGAGCCCGCTTGGGGAGCACATTTCTTTAGGATGACAACTGTGATCTCATCACCTCTGCTTGCCTTATGGGAGTCTAATTTAGAAATGATGTCTGAGACCAGTGACAAGGTTATGTTTATCACTCAGCAGAAGTTCTGTTCTAGTAGGGAAATCATGTGTGGCTACTTCAGATGAGTTGAGTGTTGAGTTGGAAGAGCATTTCCGAGCAAAGCATTTCACCTTATCTGCTGTAGATGTCAAGACTTCAAATTGATTGAATAGAGGATGGATTGAGGATTTGCTGTTGTTCAGCACACTCTTTCAGAGCCACCATTAATCTCTGGAACTGAACTTGCGAGATGCTATACATTGTTTCATTCTATCAGCAAACAGTAACTTCACTTCTGTGAGGATGTACTTGCATTCATAAGAGCAGAGACAAAGAGATGTCTGTTGCAGTCAGATGTGTTGCTCTGGTACAACCAGAAGTGATTCCTGTGGGCTATAGCAGCTGAGCATGCAGATGAGAACCCAGGAAATGAACACAGTTTAACTTGGTATTTCCTTGCTGGAATGAAAGCATCGATATCAGCTTTCACCAGGAGGAGATCTTAGATGTATATTTTTAAACAGGATGATTAAAAACATTGTTCCAAGGGATGTCACAAAGGAACTCATGGAATGAGTTCCAATCTGCTTGTTGATAACAGAAAGATATTCTGCTTGTAGGAAGTTCTTGGCTGATGGGGGAGTGGAAAAAGATGTTTACAGACACTACTGCATGATGAGTTGCAAAGAAGGCAGAGCTGCATAGTATGACATGAGTCAGGGATAGTGATAAAAAGGTCTAGAGGAGAAGCGTGTCCATCAGGGATACTGGGAAATGTGTGGGGAAGCCCACCACATGCATGAGAGATTATTTTGTCCAACCCCTGTATTTCACTTTTATTTTAGCTGCATCAGAGACTTTTTTTTTTTTTTTTTTTGAAATTTCCCAAAAAACTCTCTTGAAATAAAAACAAAACCTGTTGAATTTATAAACGTTTTCTTATTTGTTCCTTATTCAATCATTGTTGGATTTAATCCGTATAAAAAGATTAAAACTCTAAATAACAAGCTTGTAGTATATTAGCTAAATCAAAGTTATTACATAAAGTATACAACTGATATATTTACACTTTCTCTGGTAACCTTAAAATTTCTGAGAAGCACTAATGCAAAAAAAAATATTTGAAAGGAAATAATTTACTATCTAGGAGATTCTCTTTATAAATATTTAGTATAGATTTGAAACTGTACCCTTTCAAATGTTTAAGTCATATATGCTTGTTAAAACCTGTAATAATTATTTTCACTATTTACAAGCTATTGTCCTCATCTTTGTAAATCGATCCCAGATTGATATACACCTGATGAATTCTGTAGGGCACAACGGCCGAAACGTTGTGATAACAACAACAAAGATGAGGACAATAGTCCACATGTAAATAGTGTAAATAATAATTCGTCATTTATGCTTAAACATGATTAAACATGTATGAGAGGACCATTATAATAGACAAGAATACACATGGTATAATTTGGTATTTAAAGTAGTATTTTTTCTTTTTAAATTAATATTCATTATGAATATTGTAAAGGTAATATAAGAATCTCATTCAAAATCTTAAAAATGTACAAAATATGGATATTTTCTAATAATCACTGGTTGCTTTTGACTGCTAGAGATTATGACTAAAATTATTTCAAGGCAATCAGTTTTGTATTGCAGAAGTGTAAGAAGATTTAAATTTAAAATTATCCTGGATTTTATGATCATTTTATACTTAGTTTTATTAATTTCTCTGCTTAAATAAGTAGCATTATTTTAAATACTTACCATTTTCTTTTATTTTAAATGCAAGTGCAAACCATTTGATTTATTATGACTAAATTTGGCGTGATGACAATTTTGTAAAAAAAAAAAAAAAAAATCAATCCTGAAACATTTTGCCAGTCTGACATTTCCTACCCTGGCATTTGCTAGTTCAGTGTCATTTAATTCATTAACATAGATATGCTGGTATAATAAAAATATTTTTTGCTTTAAAAAAAAAAAAAAAAAAGAAAAAAAAAAGCAAGTATGTGGGAAGAGGATTAAATCCATACCATTAATTTTAAATATGAAGAGTTGTTGAAAATTTCTTGGCACAACCCTTCAAGAAAATAAATCCATCATTTGGATAGATTTTGGAGAGAACTTGGGGTATTTAAGCAGAGAATATGATGTAAATGCCAACCCTAACCTAACATTGGTTACAGTCTGATCTGTCATTATTGATTAACATGAGGATTTGTCCCCTACTTTGTTGCATTTTATATTGTTGCTTCTCTATTTATTTAAAAGTAATGATTAGTTTAAAAAGACAAAATGAAGTTTCTTTAACTATCTTAAATACTTTTCTGTACCTACCTATTTTTACCACACTAGAAAAGATCTATTATCTATGAAAAAGTTACCAACAACATTTAAAATGTTTTAGGTTTTTTTTTTTGTCACTTTACATAACTAATTACTTACATTCAAATTCTTTCGGATAAATTGATAAATCTTTTGTTGTAGTGTTACTTTTTAATGTTACATTAAATATTTATAAAAAATACATGTTAAACTTTTTATATAATGGAGAATTCTTTCAATGATGGAAAATTACAAATTTACTTGGATAAAGCACAGATGTCTCTTGTTTAATACCCTTGTAAGTAATTCATGTTTTGTTCTGTATAACTGAGAGAGTTACTAAAGTTGAGCTATAATATAAAATTATAAGAATGGGTTGAATGTTTTTCCTAGTAGTGAAAATAAGCCCCATTTAAATATCTATATTTGAAGAAGTAAAACATGTAAAATGATTAGTATATTTTGTGTGATGCTTGTTTGAAACTTAATGATAATATTTAAAAGCATACTCAGAAATAAAGTTGATCAGTTAGTTTCTTGATCAACTTTGGCTTTTACCTGTTATCACCTTGGAAGTGCTAGTGCTTTCCAACTATCACAACTTCTGGATTTAGATCACTTATTGCACCTTCCTCCTGTGTTATTTTAATAATGCATATAATTGTATTCTAAATCTTAAATCCATTAGTGCTGTGTGTGTGTGCGTGTATGAATTAGAGATAGAGGTTGGATAGGTAAACTTGTAGCCTGACACAGTTATTAGCCAATTTATTTGAAATTTTCACTGTATATTGTTCCATATATAGAAAAATGTTGGTTAAATGCATTGATAAAGGAGGAGATTCTGTTGAAAAATATTTGTGTAAAATAAATGCATATTTTCATCATTAGGCTACAGTGCGCTTTATCACATTATCAACTACGTTGCATGATTAAATTCACAAATGTATAGGTGTGTCCATTTCTTTTTTTATTTTTAATATTAAGAATTTCTGTGATAAAATGTTTTAGAATTTTTTAATTTTATTTTTCAAATTTAAAAACTACACAAATAACTGATTTTGTTTCTTTTGTCAGGGATCTTGCTGCCCGAAACTGTCTGGTTGGTGAAAACCATCTTGTGAAAGTAGCTGATTTTGGGCTTGCTCGTCTCATGAAGGATGACACTTACACAGCTCATGCTGGGGCCAAGTTCCCTATTAAATGGACTGCTCCTGAAGGTCTAGCCTACAATAAATTCTCAACAAAATCTGATGTTTGGGGTAAGTATTTTGACTGCATTACTTTTTGAGAGGTCATATTAGTTTTATTAGAAAATGGCCTATTGCTTTGTGATGTCTTAAACAACATTAAAATTGAAGGTTTAGTCCTTAGCAATGTTGGTTATCTGTAAAATTAATGGAAATTTTAAACCTGTCTTAGCTATAAACTTTCATCTATAACAAAACTCTGAATTCTTACTGTCAAAATATAGATAAACTACCAGAAGATATTTACCACGTTTTTTTTATTATTATTATTTTTTTCAGTTTGAGTATTGATTGATCCTCTGGGGAAAGGTGGGAGATTTTCATCTGTACTTGAAAATTCTTGCAAATAACAAACAATGCTAATGCTAATCACTGCTTAATTCTCTTGATCAGTTGGAAAATAATCTTCTTCAGATGATATTACCATAAACCTGATCAATTTTAATTTTCTAAAATAACATTTTGATATAATCATAATTTTCACATTAAAATATCAACACAATCCATTTTATTTTTAATCTATGAGATATAAACCATACTTTTTGGGAGTGGGAGGGGCATTAAAATATGAACTTTGGAAGCATTGTGAAAGAAAATAGGTTATTCATTTTTTGTTGTTCATGAATTTTGTTATCAGTTATGATGAAATTTGAGTTGCTTTTTGAACTTGATGTAATATTGTACAGCATTAAATTCTGTAAAACAGTAATTTATCTTCATAAAATGCATGCACAAAACTTGTTGCTCTATTGTTTTTTTTGTTTTCATATTTCCCTTTTAATATTATTCTTTCCAATTACAATACAGCATTATTTATTCTGTTTAAATGACAATATTTGAAATGAAGATAAGAAATCTTTAGGAATATTGTTATTCAATCTTTAGAGAGTTTATGTCTAAAAATAAAATGACAGTATTGTTTAGTATAAATTAACAGAAAACTGTTTCCAGTGACATGTGTTGATTCTGATAGTAATAACCTTATGATTTAGTTATGTCTCATATTATTTCTTGTTAAAACCATGCTAAGATTAGTAATATATCAATATTAAATGTGGTTTTTCTTTTTAGCATTTGGAGTGCTACTTTGGGAGCTTGCTACATACGGTATGTCGCCATATCCTGGAGCTGATTTAACAGAAGTATACCACTTGTTGGAACGTGGTTACCGAATGGATCGACCTGCTGGCTGTCCTGCTAATGTTTATAGGTTGATGCTCAAATGTAAGTAGCCACCTATGTTCATCTATTCACATTGCTAAGGTCAGAAATGTTAAAGAAGGAAATGGAAAGCCAGTGTTCAATGCCTGATTGATGAGTTTTTAAGTAATTTGTGAAAAAAATCTAACTTGAAAACCAAATTAATCTGGACTATTTTTACTAGAAATAATCTGTCCCACAATTTGTCACCTGAAGTTAAGAATCTTTGTATATATAGCTTGATGGATTTTATTTTTATTTTATTTTTTATGCAGAAAGTTGAAAGGTAAAGAGATTTCTTAAAATGATGTAAATATAATTTTCATGTGGACCTAACCTGATTCTTTTTAAAAGTATTTTTTATAATACTAAAAGTTTACAAAATTTTCTTAAATAGTAATGCAAAACAAAATTACAGCGGATTCCATTTTTTCTTCAGTCATAATGTTTATAATCATCATTATCAGAACAGAAAAGGTAATTTAAAAATATTCTTTTCAAAGCTATTTAGATGTTCTTGTTGTGATGCATGTTTCAAGGTTTCCTATTTTGAATGCCCCTTCCTCAGTAGAAGGACTATATATCCAAGTCTATGCACTCATATGTAAATGAAGCAGGGCATTTTAATATCACTACAGTTTAATGAAAATATTGACAGTTTTCAACTATTTGGTGTTCTTCAGTAAAACCAGTTCAATGATTTTGAAATGCATGTTTACATCACATTTGTTTTCATTATGTAGAAATACAATACAAAAGATTTTGTGTATTAAAAAAATCTTAAAACGTCTTAAACTTCTTTGATATATCTCAATTAAATACTAAATATTGTGAAAACTAAATAGATTTTCTAATTAAAACCCAACATGATAGAAAAGTACAGTATTTCCACTTTTGATTTATTTTGTGTTTTAGGCATTAAAAATTCTCTTTCAGATATATATATATATATATATATATATATATATATATATATATACATGACAAAACACATTACTGTTATTACAGTTTTAATAATGTTATTTTTTTTATTTTTTTACATTGGAACTTTAATGTGTTCATAAATATAACTTTGATAATAAATTTAATAATTATTTCATGAAAATAGTCAAACTATACAGCAAAGCAATTCTAAGAGAACTAGAAGCCCTACCAGGATTCATTATTGGCAGCTCCAATCTTAACAACATAAGATATAAAAATGACACAATGTTGATAGCAGACACAGAAAGAAAACTACAGAAACTCCTGCGGAAGATAGTGAAGGATCATGAGAAGAAGGGTTAAGCATCAACTGCAAGAAGAATAAATGCAGGGTTGTTAACAAAAAGATGAGCCCAAAGTACTAATTGTACGAAGATACCGGAATCGAACAAGTGTAGAAATTTAAATATCTGGGAAGTGTTTTAACAGAGAATGGAAAGTGTGACACTGAAATCTGAAAGATGCATTCCAAAAGCTAAGCAGAAAACAGAAAGACAGAATTTGCTAAGAGCTACAAGGGACAGGAAGTTGTGAATCGCTTACATTCTGAAGGGACATGGCACATAAAGAAGTTTGAACAAATTACACAATAATGATTATGATGATTTATCCTTGTCATCTCAAAATTTCAGGAAACCTTGATTTCATATTGTCTATATTTCCTGTTCATCCTAATAGATACTGTTCCCACTGAAAGAAAATAAAATATTCATTAATTTGCAAAATGTTATATCGGGTTTATTTATTGTACTGAAGTACCAATTCCATTTGATTATAATTATTATTATTATTAATATTAAAGAAGAAATGTTATTATCATTAAAGAGAAATTATGAGCAGGTTGATAATTGATACAGGAACTTGAAGAATTTTTTTTTCTAATTGAAAAATAATTTTGCAGGTAAAACAACAATTAAGTATTTTTTTTTTTTGTAAAGTTTGAGTTGTGTTGTATTTGATTTGAAAACAATGACTAACGTTTTGCCTTAGAGACTTCTTTTCACATATTCACTGTACAAATAACACTGAAATAATTTGCATGATCTTAATATGTCTAGAGGTCTGTAAATTTAGAACAAGTCTCGTTACCTTTGCAAATCCTACAGCATATTTTAATAATTTAGGAAGAGTAAAAAAAAAAAAAAAAAAATGGCTAAATATGAAAGATTAGTGCAAGATATGAATCCTTTTGCAAAATACAAAGATAATGTCAAAAATGAAAGAAATAGTGACATGAAAGTTCATGTGCTCAATGTATAAAATTGAAATATTTATTTACTATTCATACAAATTTGGTATTAAAGAAAGTATAAAATATGTAAAAAGAATAGCTCTCAAAATTCAAAAGGGACTCATCCTTTTAAGAAATTGAAAAGATATTTTTAAAATTGTATATATTTGCACATGTTCACTGTATATATGGGTTGGTCAACAACCAGGATTTCTTGAACCACTTGTTTTTGTTTCCTGGAAATATCTTCTGGAAAATAGAAAAAAAAAAGATCTATTGCTTTTGCTGAAACTGCTTCTTTTGAATGAAGGAGATGTTGACAGTATTGAACAGTGAAGATAGGTAGGCAAATATTTGTAGTCATCTTGCTGGATTCTTGTCCATAGAAGTGAACATTAGTTATAGTGCTGATGACCTGTTGTTTAGAAAAAAACACTCCCTAAGATGTTTGACTTTTTGTTTTGGAGGCATCTACTCTAATCAATATTTCTACACTGCTTTCCTTACATTGTTGTTAAAAAGCTTTCACAACCTAGTATTTAAGAGAAAAATGTAGGATTCAAAGGCTTGCATGCAAATTGTGAATTTGGGTATAAATATTTGGCACCTGTTACTTTTTAAGTTACTTGTGATCCATTTTTATCATTACATAGAACTAGGTAAGCTTTCCAAATGTTCTATTTAGGAGGGTGGGCTGAATTGTTAATAGGCTGACTATCAAGGTGTGATGCTAGAGCTGTGAAATCTTGCATGCATTATTTTCAACTCTTATTAATAACTGCATGTTTCTTTCCAGGTAAATTGACATCTGACTGTTCAAAGAAGACTTAAAAAGTAACTTGTAGCAACTTCTCTTGAAAATGGACAAAATTTGGCATCATGGTATTATGAAGTACCCACAGAAAAAGGATTTAGCCCACAAGGGCATTCATGCTGACAGGGTTGCTACATTTGGGGATGACACTCCAGCTTTATGAACAGTGCAAAAGTGGGTTGCTGAATTTAAGAGGGGAAGAGAGCTTTGAAGATGATCCAAGGTTTGGACCTCCTGCAATTGCCATCACTGAGGAAAACAATCATGTTCACCACATGGTGATGGATGACTATAAATCAAATAGCCAATGCTATTAGCATATCTTGTGTGAGAGTTGAGAATATTCTGCACAATGAACTTGGCATGACAAAGGTTTCTGCTTGGTGGGTTCCACATCTTCTGACACCTGATCAAAAGGGTATCAGGCTGCACACAGCATTGGAAAATCTGACATTGTTTGAGACAGATACAGCTGGTTGCCTTGAACGTTTCTTAACCCAGGATGAGTGTTGGGTTCATCATGTTGAACCAGAGAAAAAGATACAATCCATTCAGTGGAAACAACCCTCCTAGCCTGCTCCAAAGAAGTTCAAAGTCATTTCGTCTGCGGTAAAGGAGATGGCCTCAATTTTTGTGATACAAAAGGCATTGTGTTTATCTTCACAAGAGCCAAACTATCAATGGAGAGTATATGCCAACTTCCTGATGCAGTTATGAAAAGCTATTACAATGAAATGCCCAGGAAAACTGATGAAAAAGGTCTTGTTTCATCAGGACAAGGCTCCAGCACACAAGTCTTTGGCTTCAGTAGCTGCTGTGTATGACAGTGGCTTTGGTTGATCACCTTCTCTATACTCTTGATTTTTGCCCCATCAGACTATCATCTGTTCCCCAACATGAAAAAAAAATCACTTGGCTGGGAACCAGTATTTCAGTGATGATGACATTATATCTGCTGTTGATGATTTTTTTGAGCAACAGGATGAAAGCTTCTTCACCAATGGGATCCAAGTACTGCAACACTGATGAAAGAAATGTGTGGACTGCAAGGGAGACTGTTGGAAAATGAATCTCAATTAGTCACATTCCATAAGAGAGTATCCTGGTCAGCCCATGAACATTTCAGCCGACCCTCATAAAAATGATTTTTTAAATATTGTTTTAAATTCTTACATTTTATTGATAAGAATAAAAACATTTCACATAAAATTTTAATTTTTCAAACACATTTTTCTTAAAAAATTCTTATAAGAGAGCCCTAATTAATATTTTTAATATTACAGAGAAAAAGTTTTCAAAAATGGCTTATTTATTTACATATAAGCTTGATACAAATACACTATTATCCTTATTTTTAAGAACTTAAAACTGTATTAAAAGCAGTAGAATATTTCTCCTCTGTCTTGCTATTCTTCCTTGCTTGATTCTATTGACTTTTTCTGTTTTGCAATGTTCCTGCTATGGAAAAGCAATATAATTGTAGGTGGGCTAAATATTTGGCAAATATATTACGACCTTAGTGAAGCATAGATGTCCAATTGCATGAAATTTGAATTGAGAATAAAGGGTTATGTGACCAAGCATACATAGAAATTTCTCTTGTTGAAAGCATAAAAATAATTCAGGATTGTGATCAATAGGATCTGGATGTCTTTAGAAAACATTATGTATTTTTATTGATGCAAGTTGTGGATTTAGTTACTCAAGGGGAAAAACTCTTGTGAGAGATAGAGAAGAAAAACAAAACTACTGTGTTTAAATTCAAAAACTCTAGGTACCGTAGCAAAGAGTTCCTTCAAACAGTTATGAAAGTATTTATAGAAAAGACAGATAGGCAACCTTATAGCAGTGGGAAAGTAACTGGAGCTGAGCCACCAGATTAGGACCAATAATATTGCTGATTCTTCTTTGGATCTTATCAAGGAGCTCAAGGTAAATAGCAGGTGCACTGGACCACATGTGGCAGCAGTATTCTAAGCATGGATGAATGGTAGACTTGGATATATGCAAGTAGATTCTGGAAAGAAGGATTGTCTTGGATGACATAGTGAACTGACTTTCTTAGCAGCTGATTTAGCAATGGATTCAATATAGTCTTTCCACTTCGTAGCAGAGAATGTGAACCCGAGAAGGCACAAGAAGTCACTTTCCTGGAGGATAGCACCAGCCATGGAAGGCAGAGAGGGCTCTCTCAGATGATTAATGGAGAGAAGTTTAGTTTTGGAGGTGTTAAAATTAACAAGACATCTTTTGCCTCAGTTAACTATGGACTTAAGGTCATTTTGGGCATCAGCTGTCATTTTGACCTTGTCAGACTGATAAGCCTTACTTATCAAGGCAGGAGTAAGTTGTAAGCATAAATACCAAGTTTAGAGCTGATATCATTGGGAAGGTCATTAATGAAAATTAAAAAGTAGGTTCAAGGATGGAGTCCTGGGAGACACCTTTGTTAGTATGAAAGAATTTAGACAAGTGGCCATTCAGGATAACTCTCATTTCACAATTTGATAGAAAAGACTAGATCAGTTCAAAAACTGAGACACCATAACTTTTCAGGTTGTGGATAAGACCAGAATGCCATACCCTGTCAAAAGCTTTCAAGATGTCCAATGCAACAGCTCTGTATTATTTTTTTCTTTTTGTTTTAAAGGAACTTACCATCCATTCAGATGTCAAGTCATTTGAATTTTATAAATGTTTTTGTAAAATTATTTATTGATCTTAATTTGATTACATTTTTTCCCTTTGATTTCAGTGTGACTTTTTCGTTATACCAAACTGTCTAACAATAACCTGTTTTAGTAATTCTAAAATATTTCAAAATGCTGATGATAATTCATTTCCAAATGATATCAAGTTTTTTGGTGGCATTACATAGCTTAACTTGTATATGTATTAACCAGATTATTTTTCCCCAACATAATCTGTTTTTCTTTTAGGAATAATTGACAACACTGTTGAAGGTTATACAATTATTATATTCTGAGTTAGTTTAAATTTGTTAATGTAAAACTGTTTTCATATATTTCAGGTTGGCAGTGGGAAGCTAAAGACAGACCTACATTTAAAGATATCCACAATGCTTTGGAAAATATGTTTGAAAAATCAAGTATTAGTGAAGGTAAACTGAACTTTTATACTTTGAACATGCTTTACCTAGAATCTCTGTACGATGTTTGGGAAATTATTTCAGTAGATATTCATCTTTTTGATTATTCTCATATATATATATATATATATATATATATATATATAGGAAATATTATATTTGATGTATTAGAAACTAATTACACTTTAACATATACACTTGATTTCATCCAATGAGAGTTAATTTTTTTATGTTCATTATTTTAGTGCAAAAGATAATTTAATGTATTTTTTTTTTCTTCTATATTCTCTAACCAAGTTTCTCATGCCTGCGTAATTTTCCTTTAATGTTATGAAACATTGCAATGCTCTTTTTAATCAGGACTTGTTTTGCTGAATCTGTTCTCTTGGAATAAGGACAATTTCCATAATCTAACTTTTGACTTATTGAAAAATGACACCTGATTGGTGGTTTTCAGCCTTTATCAATGTACGGAGTTGAAGAAAAAAAACTTTCTTGTTGAATTACTGATTATTATTTCTTTTTTTTTAAATTATAACTTTATTTATAATAGGCCAAAAACAGAAAATGCACTTCCTATTACTCTTTTAAGTAATGAAAGTATCCAAAACTTTTCATAATAATTTATTTGCTGTTCATTTTTCTTTAAGTTTGATGCTGCAGTTATTTTCTATATATCTTCAACCTTATTTATTTTGAATGAAAGTTTCATTTGTATTGAAATCTGAGATTTTTGTTGTGTACAAGGTGCTATCAAAAAGTTCAGGAATTTGACTGTGAAGAAACACTTTATTTTCTCAAAGGAGATGGTAGAAACTAAGTGTTAAGGTACTTTTCACAAATGGTAGCAGCAAATGTATAGTCTGTACTACATTCAGTTTGTATACATTGTTCCAATTCCAGAAGTTTTTGTGTAAAACATGATATATATATATTCCATACTTTTTGTTTTATCTCTTAAGCTATGTAACTAACTTGTCCTTGGATAGAAGAATATTTTCCTATCTGATTATACACCAAATAAATGATGTTTAATAATATCTATCACAGTTAGTAGATTTGTACTGTTGTACTGTTCTTACTCATTAGTAATTAAATTTCTTGAAGTCAACACACTAGATAAGATTGCTACTTGCTTATCAACTTTGAATAAAAATCGTTGTCGGCATCTGTCCATCTCGAGAGACGATGGAGTAGCATGGTGCGCTACGAGCTTGGGCGGGATATATGGAGAACTAGGGCTGCCTGGACATCTAATTCCCACTCTCGGCCTTGCTAGCAGAGTCCAAGGGAGAGAATAAACCAATACAGTTTGGTACCAGCGTGGCTGCGGGAGTTGCCAGAAGGTAGCACAAAGTGTCGTCCATCCGCCTTAGGGGCTCCACTCTGGGTTTGAATTCAGAGTTATCCTTCTCCTAGACCAGTTGCCATCCAAAGCTATAGAACCGAGTCTGTCCTGCTATTTACCCATAGCTGGAGGGAGAAGAGGATTCACACCTTTCCCAAGAGTATTAGCACATAAGTGAATGTAATGGATTCGACTCTAATTCAAATTCGGCTCTCCGATTCCTCAATCTAAGCCACTATCCATTACTCCTCTTAATAAAAATATTAAGATATTAATACTTGCATTATTAATAAAAGTAATGTAAGTATTAATATCTTAATATTTACCATCATCAACAGAAGTGGGATTTATTTTTTTTGGTTCATCAATGATTTATTTAAATTAGTATTTTCATAATTACTGTTTTTTTTCGTTTGATTTTCAGTGATTTAAAATTGAGCTTAAATGTGGTTTCTTATGTCCCAGCTACAATAACCATTTGAAATACTTTTGACAACCTATTTAGATGTTACTAAAAAATGACATAAGCTCACAACTGTAATAGCTGCAATACTAGAATTTTCAAAAGAAAAACATTTCAATAATTTCGGGAGTCAGATTATGGAAAATATCCTCAGGATTGAAAAATAAAATTTAAGAAAGAAAAAGAAAAAAAAGGTACACATATCTATATAAATATATATTTATAACTCAGTGTTTCTATGTCCCTATTCACCTTGACTTTTTGCTTATGCCCCATAATTCTGTGCCATTTTCTTTTTCCAGAAAGTTCGTCCCTAGATGAAGTTTGCAGTTAGCCATATTGATTGGATTGATAGAAGTGATTTATGATAAAGAGTGAGTATACTGCTGAATATTGCTTACTAAGAAACTTTCTTTTTCTCTTGTAGAAGTTGAAAAGGAACTTGAAAGTGAGAAATGGCGAACTCCAGATAAATCCAAGAAAGCTCGGGCCCAAAGTCTTGATAGTTCTGAGCATATTGGTATTGATGGTCGGACTAGTGCAGGTAAACACTGACTCCACGTATTGCTCTGAGGGTCTCACTCCTATTTCATGCACACTTTCTGAATGTTGCAAACCTGATGACAGAACTTTGGATAGGCAACAACACTATTTATTATTATTTATTAATTTCTAAATAACATTTAACTTATACAAAAAATATTTTATAACTTTAAGCAACTTTTGTACAAGTTGTAAAAGAAAGAAAAAAAAAAAATCCCATTTCTGATTGTGTGCTCCAGCAGTCGGCTGTCTGTCCAAATGCCGTTCTTTATTTACATTACATGAATGGCAAAGCTTATTAGCTTTTTATTTCTGCTTGTTTCTTCCTTTTTAAAATCAATGTGCTACTGCTGCTTTAGTTGTTCTATTTTTGGTGTTATGTGATATCATTTTTTTCTTTAAAAAAAAAAAAATTCTAGCCCTAAAAAAAAAAAAAAAAACCCGAAAAAAACTCAATGTTGTTATGTGTTGATCTGTGAACTTCTTTGGCTGATTAGTATTGCACCAGCATTGAGCATTCATTTAGGAATGTCCATATGTTCTAGATGTGCTACTTGCTGGTGTGGTGCATTAACCCCACTCCAGAATGTGATGGTACTTATCCATCACTTTCATCCCTTCCTTTTTTTACAGACAAAGGCAGTGGCTGACAGTGTCTGTTTAAACATGCACATAAACACTGTTGGGACATCATTATGCAGTAAATTATGAGATCTTTCTTCCCACTTGCTGAGTACAAAGTATGCATCAGTGTATAGGGGGAAGCCTATGAAGAACCTATATGTAATTTACTATATAATGACTTTTTCTTTAAGAATACTTAATCTATACAAAACCATTCTCTCTCTCTCATTTTTTTCCTGCTTGTTTACTCTTTCTTTTCCTTCCCCCGTCAGTATGTGAATCTTACAGTGTAGATAAGACTACACTTGCACCTACCACAACCTTACTGCACACTGATGAGGATATCAAAGAATTTTAACAAGTCATATTCTTTTATTCTGGAAAAAAGAAATTCTCCACAGTAACAAAGCTTACATTAATAATTTTAAACTTAACCTTCAAAATGTACAAATAAATAATACTAATAAAATTATTGCGAATAACCATTTAATTTGGAGTATTCCCTCTATAAATAGCGCTTTTTTTCCTAACCTCAAATGCTAAACTGTCATGTGACCGCATATCTCATCCTACCTGGAGTCGGAAAGCAAGCAGCCTAACACATGCACTAACAGCTTTTAAGTGGCTGTGGTACAAAGGGAGGTAATCCCAACATGGCCAGTTTCATAGTGGAACACTTGATGATGCTTTGAACGTAGCTGCTTTGCTACCTGCTGGTCTGCAATCACAAAAATCAAAAATCTAGTGGCTATGTCTAGTCATGCCACTTCCTGCCATAGTACTACTGTTTATTTGCCTAGCAATATAATTACCAATATTAATAATATCAGCAACAATAATATTAATATAAAAGCAAACAAATAGGAAATGCCAACTGTTGAGAAAGCTCACCAGCGTGGAAAAATAGTGCCCTCACACCGCCTGGCACTACTAATGATAACTAATGTTCTAGTTTGCCCGTCCTTGACTCTGCTTGCCTTGCTGAATTGACAAAGTCATCATTTGGTTGTTGTTGTTGCAGGTCCTACACCTCCGGCGGGTCGGCGTGCTCCTCTTACTCTTGATGACTCTGACAAGCGACAAGTTGCAGATATTCTCCAGCGGAAGTCATCTCGAAAGAAGACTCCAGCACCAGTGCCTCCCCAGCGTACAACGTCGTTTCGGGGCCAACAATCAATCGACTCGTCCGAAATGGAGTCTGAACTGAAAACAAAAATAAAGCAACAGAAGGCTAAGATTGAGGCTGCCACCCTGCATGAGCACTCTGCTGAGCACTCAGTCTCGCTGGATCAGGACAATTATTTTGACAACCATGTGTTTACAAAAACTAAACATCTCTCATTGAAGGGAAGCTCTCCGAAGTCATTTCGTCGGCATGATAATGAGAAATTTCAAGAAAAACTTGAAGACAGTTTCCCTCGCCAGATGATAGAAAGTTTTAAAGGTTCGCATATTGACAAGTCAAAGTATATTATTACAGATTTAGGAAATAAGAACCAAAGACCTCCTCCGGGTCATTTGAATCATCTTATTCCTGCTGAGATCCGACCTGAAAGACCAAAGATCGACAAAGAGACAAGCACCAGTGAGGAAAGCATTGAAGCAGCAACAGTACATGGAGGTTGTTATCCCAAGGTGCCACAATCTTTGCCAACTCAACGGTCATTCAGTGCAAAGAAAGGTAAATCTTTGACAGACAGCCAAGGCAGTGAAGATGCAGTTGAACATGATAATTTTGTCAGTGTAGGAAAATTAGATGCAGACAATGTGAAGAAAACCATTAGTCGTTATGGAACCATCCCCAAGGGTGTCAGAATTGGTGCTTACCTTAAGTCGATGGAGGATGAGTCAAATCAGACTGACCAGCGGGACTCAAATATAGATGATGTTGATTCGGGGACAGATACTGCCAGTGTGACATCCTGTCCCCCATTACCTACCACCGCTGAGACGCCGGGAGACAGCAGTAAGGAAGATGACAGCAACAGCATTGGCATCAAACAGGAACACAACCTGAAGCCATCAGCTGTTGTTAAGTCTCAGTCTTCACAGATGCTGGTTGACAATCAGAAATCTCCTCTTACTGGCTTACTCCAACGTCAAAAGTCTGATCTTACTCATGGTAAGGTGCAGGGGGTGAAGAATGACTATTCCCCATCGAAGCCTGAGAATAGTCTCTTCCCCGGGGTTCCCACAGCAGCAAATAAAATGGAGGATGCTGCAGAGTCCAGCAAACCTCGACCAAGTCCTCGATTCTCTCATGTGTTTGATGACTCAAACGATACAAAAAAAGATGAAAAGAAAGAAAATAAGAAATTTCCTAATAAACCTCTCAAGTCCCCAGACGATGTCCCCCAAGAGTTACGTAGTTTTCAAAAAGTTGGACAACCATTTCCCTCGCGGCCACCAGGCCTAGCTCATGTGAATGATTCGAGTCCTACAAGCACAGAATCGACCCTGGTCAGCAGTCCTGACTCTGTTGTGGAGAAATCGAAAGGAGATGTGCGCTCGCCACCTCCAAGGCCCCCAACACGGGCCAGAATAATGGTGGCAGACTCAGAAGATGGCAAATCTTCTAAAGAAGGAGATGACAATGTTGTTCCATCTGGGGTCTTGTCCAAGCTGGCCTCCAAAGTGAAGCTGCCACTGTTGCCCCCAACAAGTGAAGCAGCCCCTCTGAAGTCCACTGGGCGGAGTGTTGACATCTCTCGAGACACAGATAAATTAGCGAAGGGGGACCATCCTGCTGAAAAGTTCAGCACTAACTCTGACAATGCTGCTGGCCGCATGACCCCAGGCATCACCCACAAACCCCCGCCTGGAAACCAAAGGGATGAGTCTACTCATAAATCTATGTTCCCTAGTCTTAGATCTGCTTCTGCATCACATCGTACTACGGAGAGTGACCCTTCTGACAGCAAAACGAACCAATCCAACCAGACTGCTGATAAAAACTTGGCTGTGGACTTACCAGTGTCAAAAGACCTAATTATTGAAGCCTCAGGACAGCTGGACGGCCGCATTGACTCTTTGGCCACCAGCAGCTCCAAGAGTTCTGGAGAGTTCATGGATCTCTCCAAACAAGTGCAGACATTTCATGAAATGTGTTCTCAATTTATTGACTCTTTACCGCCACATGCAAAGTTCCATATCCGGGAACTACTCACTCGACTGCAGTCGTTTAGTCAAAACCTAAAGACTGTGTCAGGGAGCTGTTCTTCTGGGGGTTCCAACCTATTGGATGACATTCAGAACACAAATAAAGAAATCCTTCAGGTTATACAGCGATGAGCTGTACATGGGCTAACACACACATACATTATAAATAAACACACATAGATATTGAGCGATGGTTATTAGACAGAAGTTTGGACAGCTGATGGTTTCAACCAACCATGAATCAACTCACCCACCCACATAACATCTACAGTGAATCCTCCTTTTCAAGACTTGCATCTGCGTTAATACAGAAGGTGAAATACATTTGGGCATACACTGGCACCCAAAGAAACAAGAAAATTAAAGATTAAAAAAATTGGGGCAGGTGATTGTAACTTTTAATTTGCTGCATTAGAATTAACTTTTTAATCTTTATTTTTGTGCACAAGTTGATAGAAATATATAAGACATGTTGTGGATACAGCTGTGACTGCCCAAAATATTGGTCCCTGACAAAGGTCAGTCTTAATCAGAAACAACCTCTGTGCACAAATCTACCTGTATGTGCAAAAGAACACTTACAAAAAAAAAAGGAAAAAAAAAAAGAAACAAACAACAACAAAACTACAATACAAAAAAAAGCAAAAAAACAAAAAAAAAAACAAAAACAAAACAAAAAAACAAAAAAAAATTATCCTCATCTCAGCCACTTGTGTTGCTGTGGAGAGTTACCATCTCAGTGTCTGGTTGCCATGCTGTCTGAGGAGACACAGAAGGTCAGAGTTAACTGAAGTTTGGGGGTAAGGGAGCAGTTTATTTTTATTTTCCATTATTGGTTTCTAAAATATGGGAGGGTGGAAAAAAAAAATAGAAAAGAAAATTAAGAGAAGAGATTTTTGTTTTTTCTTCTAGCTGAACATTTCTTCACTGTGAATGTGACATGAACAAATTTAATAAATCTTGAAAGAAGCAAAAAAAGGCTCAACAATAACTGAAAAAGGAATGAGGCAAAAAAAGTAAAAACTGGCAAGATGTGTCTAGCTCTTGGCAGCAGTGCAAGCTGTACTCTTGACAGTAAATTATTAAATTGATGAGTAAACAAGTGATGGGAATATTTTGACTTCTCCCTTCCCTCAGACTCCCAATCTCCTTTCTGTGAGAGAGAAAAAAAATATATCTCCAGTAATGTAAAATATAAGAAAGAAATCTACATGATTTAAACACTTCCCTTGAAAGAAAATTCTTAACCCTTGCTTAATCTTCTTGTCTCTTGTTCCCCATCTGTTTTAATTCATTGATCAAAACTTTTTCATTGTTTGAAGCTGGGCAGAACTTATGCTTGAAGTGACAATTTTTTTTATATTGTACATCAAATGGCAAAAGGCAGGTGATGGTTGTTTTGTCTGTCCATGGAGTAATGTCTTTGTAGGTCTGGACAATGACCAGTCAACCACTTTTATCAGGACGGCAGTGGTGGCAGGTCTGTGGTCAGTACAACACTCCTCATTCTTGACTACAAAGACTTCATGTGCAGTGGTGACTAAACTAAAAAGAGAAACAAAATTTGTAAAGGAACAGACAAACCAAAATAAAACAATGAAAAATGAAAGAGTTTAATAAGAGAAAATAGTTGAAACCTATTTTCATGGAATTCCATTTGTATTGTAAAATGTTTTAGGTTATCAAACATTTCTGTAACTTAAAATTAAAAAAGATAATGACAAACTTAGAGACATTCATGGAAAAGCAGGGTGATTTTTCTTTTTTTATATATTAAAAAGGAGATGTCCTATGCTGTGTAGATATGTTTTCCTTTTGAAGATAAATATAATGATGGGTAATTGATCCAAATGATATACATTAGAAAGAGGTCCCTTTTCGTTCCTCTACAGGCTCACAGCAATGCTGGGTGTACATGAGTACATAATTCTTTGTTTACACACACACACACACACACACATATAAATACACATACGTGTGTGTGTGTGTATATATATATATATATATATATATATATATACACACACACGCTCTCATATAGACACACACACACACACACACAAATATAGAATATATACATACACATGTACATTCCATATATATATATATATATATATATATACACACACACACACTTCCATACATATATATATATATATATATATATATATACACACACACACACACACACACACACATATATATATATATATATATATATATATATATATATGATGAACCTGTTGATGCTGTGTTTATTAACCCAATTTTTAGCATGGAGGGTCAGATTTGTTTTTCTTTCTCAGAAGCAGCAGACCAAATTGAACAAATGTCTTTATTTTCAATCCATTTTTTTTAATTATCGGTAACTAAATTTTACAGAATGTAAATTTTGAGAAGTTTTCATCATAAGAGTTTTGTTTTATTGTGTTAATGTTTGAAAGAGCAAACATACAAATGAATACAGTGTGATTTTAATGAGGACCATTGGAAGAAAAAAAACTTAAGAAATAAATTTGTTAGTTTGCAACTTTCTCTCACTGGCTGGTCATGTAGTAGCCAAGGGCATCAAAATATTCAAGTTTCTGATCAGGAATGTGTGGTGTCCAAATTCAGTTCAATTCCATAGTAACCACAGCTAAGCATTTTACTTTCAGTACCTGTGATAGTCTGTACATTTACCTGCTTCTGGATTTTATACTCCTTAATGTATGCTGCCCTTATTCTAAATGTACTGACTGACCAACAAAGGCCTAAAATACTTAGCCTGCATCTACTTGGACTCTCACATACTTCAACCCACCCATTATTTAGAAATGATGCTGTGGTCTTTTTATCATACTTCCAATTCCGTTTTTTTCTTTTTAAAGTCACTATAATTTTAATATTCATCACTTTCTGTAGGTGTAACTTTCCTATTTTGTCCTTTCATTTATTTATTTTTTTTTTTTTATAAAAACACCTGACTCCAGCCATATTTGACCATAGTGAAGAATCTCTTCATTCATACCTCTCTCTCACTCAACATGCCAGCTGTAAAGCAGTGCTCACGTCAGTATTATAAGAAAAGAAAAAAAAACAAAAAAATAACAGTTTGATGCTGGCATTATCCTTGAACACCTCTGCTGTTTCTTTTTGTGACCAAAGTGCTTTTGCCAATACTCTGTGGATTTTTTGAAAGCAGTGGTAGTGTAATACACATGATTTGTGTGTGTGTGTGTGTATATATATATATATATATATATATATATATATATATATATATATATATATATATATATAGTGTGTGTGATAGTAAAAGAATGTGTTTGTGAGGGTTTCTGTATTGTTTTAACCTTGGTCACCTCCTTTTCTTTATAGCCAATCAGCAAATAATCACTTACTCAACATGTCTTGCCAGAGCCACTGCTCTTCCCAGTTCGGTGAAGTGCCTATCATGTGATGCTGCCTGTGGTGCTGCTGCTACCACACTTTTAACTCCCTGTAGTATATATATATATATATATATATAATATTTTTTCCCCTTCATAAGATAAATTATCTTTCTTTCTACAAGTATGTATATGTGGATGTGTCTTGATTTTATTTATGAAAAGTAATAGACTGAGAATAAGTAAACATATTGAGAAATGAATATTTAGTTAGTACATTTGTTAAGGGAAATAGGGAAAATGTGCCAGAAAAAAAATTGCTTTTGTTTTGAAATACATTTATTACATTACAACTTGGTTGTTTCAACAATGTTAAGCTGTACATTTGCTGAATGAATCATCAAAATAATTCTTTTTCTATAACATCTTATCATTAAAGCAAAAATAACTCATTTGTATAAGTTTTTACTATATATATATATATATATAAATTAATAGAATTCTTTTTGGTCTATATTCATTTTCTATGCTTTCAGGAACATGTAGAGCACAGTAGAAGAGTGCTAACAAAAGAAAAAAAGGCCTTAGTTTTGTTAATATAAATACCTGAAGAAATCCTTTTGTTACCACATTTGTTATGCTCCATGTTTACTGATAAACTCAAATTGGAATGTTTGTGTTCTTGCAAAAAAATGTCCAGATTGAATATTTGTTTCTCATTATAGTTTTCTTATTCTTTCTTGTACAAATTTACGATTTATTTTTTTATTAGATTTTTATTTGGCTTCATTATTATTAAATATAAATTACTTCTGAATTTCATTTCTGTATTTCTACTCCCCCACCCAATTATTTTGGCATGCTAGTGCCTTAGTGCCAAATGCCTGTCACCATTTGTTGTTTTCTGATCTCCAATAATGATTAGAAAAACAGTGGCACTGTAGAAGTCTCATTCTTCTTAGCTCTCTCTTTTTCATATCAGCTACTGCTGTTTTATGGCCCACTTGCAGAATGACAAGGATTCACACTTGTGGCTTAAGAACCATATGAACTTTGCATTTTACCTTTTAAATGTAAATGATAAAAAAAGTATGCACAGTTGTTGTATTGAGCTAGTAGCTCAATATAGCATATATTTGGAAGGTGTAAAATCTATGGTTCAAAAGCTGGTGCCAGTTGGGCAAAGCCTGCTCATTTTAATTTGCTTAGGTCAAGAAAACTAACTTCCAACTTGTCCTTTTTCCTACTGTCCAGTTTTGTATAATAAAGTTTGTAATACTAAGACTGCATTCAAATCTTAATAACTCTACTTTATCCTACCCTAAACCACCCACACAGAAATATTGGCTCAACAGACTGCCATTGGCTATGACACTAGATTTGCCAATGTTTTATTCTTATAACTGTTCCTTTAAAATTTTTTCGAGGTACTCTTTGATTATCACTTTTTTGCCTTTTTGTTATTTTCTGTAAGGTGTTGCAAATCTGCATTTGTAATAATGCAGTTTTAAAAAAAGAGTTTCCCTCCAAAATCTTAACCTCTGTTGTGATGAGGGGTTGGGGGTGGCCATGGTTACCTAAGAATAAGACATTTGAGTGTGAGGTCATTCCTAGGTTGTGCATTGTATGCATTACTGGCCATGGCCCTGATTACTGAGAAATTTGATGCAAGAGTCATCTACTTCTGGTATTGATTTGACTCAAGTCTTTCACTAGTAAAAGATTATAAAAGAAATTGTTGGAGTGGAAAATTGTCCAGCA